GTGGGGGGGGGGGGGGGGAGGGAAGGGAGTGCTCTAAGACCAGAAAACTCACCATTTCTTTTCACTACAAGGTCTCAACCCAGAGTTTTCCTGTGGCCCCAAATCCTCAGCCTCCTCTTCAAAAGTAGGGGTGGATGTGGAATTATTTGAATGTCTGAATGTATGTTATTTGTCTTCTGCAAAAGCTGAGGACCCCTGTTTTGGTCATCTGTTACTGTGATGTGTTTGTTGGCTAAAAAGAAGTGACCACTCCTTGGAAGCCAACCTGAACAGGTCCTGTCTATAGGTGGAAATGCACTTGAACCCTCAGCTCGTGCCTCCTTCCATGGAGATACACTCCACATTGCAGGTGTATGGGCAGCTTCATGAAGTCACAACATCTAGAAACTTGCCAGTGGCTTCCAGAGAGACTGCCATGGATACTTTTCTCAGACTGAGTGCCTGGGAGAATGTCTTTGGAGAACTTCATGGGTGGGTGGAGCAGGAACATTTCAGGGATTTGGACAGATGTCCCCTGTAGGAGGAGAATCTCTATCTCCCTCACTGTGAAATGATTATTTCTTTCAGAGGAGGGGAGCCAGCTCCTGGGTTGGTAAAAATGAAGGAGAATGAAGAAAGGACTTTGGAGAGAGGAGATGCAGGACTGAAGGGGAATGTTTGGGTGAACCTAAAATACTGGGGTGAAGGAAAGAACTGGGACAGACCAGGCTGAGCTTGCCTGGGGTGGAGAAAGAGTGGTGGAACCATGGTCAGAGGGGCCCAGGAAGGTCCTGGAGTGGGGAGGGGGAAACTAGTGGGTCAAGCAGGATATTCAGGGTTGACATGATCAGGGGTGTCAGAGGGCTCACCTGGCTGGTGTGCAAATGTTCCAGACCCTTCTGTTTTACAAATTGTTTTCCATCCAGCAACTCAAGCCATCTTCTCTAAACCTTCTGTCAAATTTAGCCATGTCTTGCCTGATCTTCTTTAGATCCTGCAGTGCTTCCCAATGCTCCCAGGAGAGAGACCTCAGTCTTTCCAATATTTTATCCTGCATGTCTTGGCTCTGGCCAATGTCCTTGGCCTCAATGTACCCTACAAGTCCTCTGGCTCTCTTTGCTCCAGACACACCAGGTTTCTTTAAGCCCCTGGTGTTTATTCTGCTCTCTCCTACCTCAGGACATTTACACATGCTAGCCCCTCTGTTTGAATGCTTTTTCTCTCCTCTCTTGACCTAATTTTTCATTCTTTACATCTTGATCAGTATCATTTGTTCAGGAAAACATCCCTGAGCCCCCCTATTCTGTTCATTCCCTGTTCTAAACTCTTCTAGCCCCATGAATTTTTCCATTTGACCCCAAGTTAGAGTTTCTGTCATTAAGAGCTGTCTCTTTCATGAGAGGGGTAGCTCTATGAAGGCAGAGATCTTATTTCTTTGGGCCCATCATTGTATCCCCAACACCCCACACTTGAAAGGTGGTTAAGAAATTTTGTTGAATGAATGGCTGGTGTAAATTATTTACTTGGGATGGATGAGTGAATTACTGGGGTCCGTTTTGTCCTGGTTTACCTCCCATTCACCTAGAACAACCCAGACATTTCCTCAGCAAAGGGCAAACAGGATAGATTTTTCCTCCATCAAGGAGGAGAAGATTTTATTTAGTTTTATTTTTATGGTGCTACCAGCAAGGTCCTAGAACAGGACCCTCCCCTCCCCTCTCACTTATTGTAAACCACACTGATTCACTGCAAGCCCAGAGTGAACTATGGCATATCTGACTCAGAGAAGCCTTCCCAGACCCCTACCTCACACCATCTACAAAAAGAAATTTGAAGAGTGTTGGTGAATTTAAATGTAAAAAGTAAAACAATAAGGCTTCAAGATGATAACAAAGGAAAGTATCTTTACAACCTTGAGGTAGGCAAATAATTCTTAAGCAGAACACAATAAGCATGGACTAAAATAGAAAAGATTGCTAAATTAGACTGCATTACAACTTCGAACTTCTATCAAAAGGAATCATTATGAGAGTAATAGGAAAGTCACAGACTGAGAGGAAATGTTTGCAATGTAGATATTTAACAAAGGACTTGTATCCAGAATATATATAAAAACTCTGCAAATCATTAAGAAAAAAGATAGACAAACCACAAGGAAGATAGGCAAAAGACTTGAAAAGGCACTAGAGGACATCCTAACACCCAATAAATATATCAAAGGAGATTCCCATCTCTAGTCATTAGGGCATTGCAAATTAATGTCACAGTAAGATCCCATACACACCACCAGAACTACTAAAATGTAAAGCTCAGGTAATGCCAAGTGTGGGTTAAATTGTGGAGCAAATACCTGCTGGTTTGAGGGTACAATGGGTTCACTTTGGAAAACTGTCAGTATCTAACAAAGCTGAACATGTCTATACCTTAGAGTCCATCTGCTTCACTCTTGGGTGTAGACTCTACAGATATATGTATTTATGCTCACAAAAGATTTGTACCAGAACATATAGCAGCACTGTTCATAATAGCCCCAAACTGGAAATAGCCCAAATGTTCATCATCTGTGAGAGGGATACATATGGTGTATTAGTGGAACAGTGCTCTCAAAAAAAGGAATAAACTAGTGCCACACTGATTACACCCACACCAAACAATGTAGACTTAAGTTTGTGCAAAAGAAGCCAGACACAGAGGAGCACACACTGCATGATTTCACGTATAGACGGCTCAGGAGGAGGTTCAAGTAATCCATGGTCATATGAGGCAGAGACCAGGGTGGGGCATAGGGGCTACCTGGGGACAGAATGGTCCTTTCTCTTCACATGGAGGGTGATGACACGATGTGAACGCTGATGGTTTGTTCACTTTTCTGAATGTAAATTATACTTCTATTGATGTTTACCTAAAACATAACTAGAAAGAAATAAAGCAGGCCCATATCCCAGCCATTTGCTCTTCTGATGATGACATTTTATTTTCCTCATAGTGCCTATGAAACGGAGTCATTTGGAGCCCAATTTTGAGAATCCAAAGCATGCTCCTGCGACTTACATGCTGTGCAACTTCGGGCAAGTTACTTAAAGTATCTGTGCCTCAGTTTCTTCATCTACAAAATGAGGGTAATGATGATAAATATGGATGGTATTGCCTTCAAAGGGTTGTTGTGAAGGTTAACCGAGATAATATCTACAGAGAGAGACAGAGACTGGACCAGGGCTCATGCACAGATTTCTAGCCAGCACAGCGCTGATGCTCTCTAGGTTATCTTGTTAGCAGAATGTTGTCCGTCTCTGTTGCTAAAACGCAAACTTCGAGTGAAGGGTCTTGTCAGTCTTGTTCCCCGTTGTGCCTAGTCCAATGCTTGGCCACTGCAGGTATTTAATAAATATTCATCAACAGCTGAGCAGGGAGTCAGGGACCTTTGAGGCTGAGCCGCCCAGTGCTTAGAAGGGGCTGCTATTCAAATACCAAATCCTAAAACTGATCTAAACCTTGGGAAAGAGAGAAGAGGCACAACTGGATAAGTCAACACCATCTCCTGTTCACCAAGCATAGAGGGCCTGGTGACCAGCTTGCCTGGAACTCTTGGCTTCAGGGCCAAAATGAAACCTCTGGAGTCTCTTCCTGCCAGGGTTAAGTTTTGCATGTTTTTAAAGTTATGCCAGGACCTCCAAAGACCAGGGACAATGTTCTCTGAAGGCATTGAACAGGATGATAAAGTCTCCTCCACCACAGTACAACAAGACAGTCCCCAAATTCCTTTGTTGCTGAGGTCCCCAACTAGCTCCAGTGGGACACCAGCCCAGCCTGGGGCAGAGGGCAGCGGGTGTGGGAGGCAATCGGGAGACAGTGCAAATATGCCCCCACCTTTCCCAGGGAGCTCTGTCTGACAGGACATAGTAAAAAGTCTTTTAATCTTTGTCACTGTGAGTAGGCAGGGAGGCCAAAAGTCTCAATGTTTTAAAGGGAAATTTTAATTAGTATGTAAATTCGACTCGCGGCATTAAAATGTCATTTGCTAAGTAAATGTTGCTGCACTCCGAGTTCAGGTATTTATTTGATCCTGTCCTGCCAAGGTGCCTTTGTGGGTTTCCTGAGTGTGTAATAACAGCATTTCAAAAACAAAATGAAATTCTCCCTCTGCTACAATGCGCCTGGGTTACAGCTTCGCCGCCGGTGATGTGACTGGAATATTTTAAGGCAGCAGCCGCCGGCTCTGGCAGCAGCACACATGTCCCCTTCTCCCTGCCTGTCTGAGATGACCTCTTGGGGCTGCAAAGGAGACCCCTTCATCCCTGAATCCAGACCCCCGAGCATCCGCACTGAGGAGCCATGGCTCTGGCCATGGGCCTCTGAGATGACAGCCAGTTGCCTGCAAAGGGGGTGGTTGCAATGAGTGTCCAGGGGTTCCAGAAGAGGGGTGGACATTTGAGTGATTAAGTCATGTCACAGTCCTTCAGAAAACCCATGTGAAATGACCTGCAGGGGAAAGAAGATCACCTGGGGCCGTGTTTTCCTAAATTCCAAGATAAATGATGATTTAATGATACAGATCCAAAGAGCAGAAGATAATTGTCCAGCCCTTCAATGCACCGGAATTTCCCCCAGTCGTGATCAAAGCATATTCTGAGTGTTAATTAAGCTTCACTAAACCATCCGTGTGTGCATGTGCTTGTGCATAGATGTGTGCATGTGTGCAGATGTGTGTGTGTGCATGTGTGCAGACAGCTCCAGCTTCAACCCTAAGCTGCTTACTCCCCATGGCGAGAGACCATCCAGTTCCCAGCCTTGTCTAGATGGCGAGTGTGCCAGCAACTGACAGCTCAGAGCCTGCTCTGTGTATGTGTGTGCGCGCATGTGTACATATGGGTGTGTGCCTGTGTATGCGTGGTCTGTGTGTATGTGGGTGTGTGCATGTGTTCGTGGGTGTGCACATGTGTAGTGGGAGAAGTTCTGCTGATTATCACACTTCCCAGATGCACAGACGGCAGCGTGCCCCTACTGGTGTCCCATCCCCCTAGCTTCCCCTGCTCTGACCTGCCCCTGAAACAGCTGCTGGAGGAGGATGATGAGGTGCTTTCAGGACCTGGGAAGGGGCTGGCGGAAGTGCCCACAAGTGAGTTGGTTCTCATGCTGGTCCTGCCACACACAGCTGAGATCTCCTTCCTGAACCCCCACCCCCACTTCTGCTCCTGACCTCCATCTTCTCCAACTCAGAAAATGGCCCTATAGGCATCCAGGTGGCCAAGCCCCAAAGCCAGGCATCCTCTGGGGCTCAGCTTGGTGCCATCATCTGGAGGAGAGGAGAAGCGGGAGAAGAGCAAGAGAAGGGAGGGGAGAGAGGGAAGTTTGGCCCTGGCGGAAATGGGCTGTTTCTGCAGGTTCACAGGTGTTAAGTCAACACTCCACTCGAGACTTCAGTCCATCTGACAGTTGCACCTGCCCAGCCTGCCAGAGTGCTAATTGAAGCTGTAAAAACACCCCGCCTTTGGCTACTGAATATTTATGTTGTAAAATCCAAGAGAATCTCATTGAAGAGGCATCCCTTCCCCACACTCCTGTACACTTTCCACCTGCTGGAAGAACACTTGAGCTCAAGGTACAGGAGCTTCAGGAGGTGCTTTTCATTCTGTCACAGGTGCATTCAGTAAAGAATGTTGGCTGAGGACCTACTAGGTGTAGGCCTGTGCTCAGCACCAGGTTGAACAGCAAAAGACAAACAATTCTGCTAATCAGAGCCCATAGTTTGGGAAAGGAGGCATGCCACCTCCGTAGGGCGCAGCTCAGGCACTGAGCAGGTGGGACAGAGGACAGGGCACTCTTGGAGGAGGAAGTGAGTTGGTGAGCAGGTTCAGAGAGAGAGAAGAACGATGGGGCAGGGACTGGTGGACTGGGAAATGGCGGGGAGACCATGGGACCTCTCTGAACCTTGGTAAAGAGCAAAAGTCACATCTAAATGCTGCACTCTGGTGAGAAATAGCAACCCTGACATCAGGTACAGGAGGCCCATGCTCTGGCGCTCCTGTGCCCCGTCCCCTCCACGCACCTCTGACTTCAGCTGCAGCTGTGGTGGCTGCTCTAGGGGAGCTGAGAGGCACATCCCACCCCGAGCATGCAGGCACCTTTCTCTGCTCCCTGCCTCGGAGCCCCCTCAGCCACACCCAGGTGTGGTCCAGAAGTGTGGCTGTGTCACGGGGGCCTCCCACCGGTGGCGCATGCCGGCTGCTGCTACTTGCCGGTCATGTGTTCACTTCTCAGCAGTCCCAGCACCACAGAGCCCTGTTGCCTTGATAACGCACCCTTGTGTTGATCTCTCCTCCTTCCCTGTTTCACTGGGGATTCCCTGCTCCCTGGGGTCACCTCAGGAAGAAACTTGAGGCTCTGCTTTCTGCAGAACCCAGACTGAAAGCAGCGCTCAGGAGAAGCCAACTCCCTTGTTACCATACCTGACACTGGGAGAAACAGGCTGACAGAGGCGGACCTGGCTTCAGAGACCATCAAGTACATTCAAGTACGTTCTCTGAGCTCAGCCACAAAAGGAGGAGGACATCAGGGAGCATGTCCAACGAGCACTTGCCGAGGTCCTGCTACGGGCCAGACTCTGTCACAGAGCCTCTGTGTGCAGCGGGGAGCAGGGCAGACACACTTGCTCTCGTGGAGACTGTACTCCGGGACTGAGGGGCAGAATTGACAATGAGAAACATGGTGAATTTCTGATTTAACGTGAGGATGAATTAGGAAGAAGAATTTCAGGCAGGCACCTTGCAGTGGAAGGTACAGGGTGCCAATATCCACAGAGGACAGAGATATGATGGTGAACCTTACTCTGAGCTCAACTGTTGGGGGCCAGAGGCAGGAGGTTAGTCCAGGAAGGACATCCTTCAGGAACATGGATGAGAGAGGAAGGACGCTTTTGTTTCCCCACATCATCATTGGAAGACTCCTGTCCCCAAGGGTGTTACTTCTCTCAGAACAGGAAAGAGCATGTTCGATATGAGACCCTCTAGACTCCCTCCCACCAGCCATCTCCTCCCATCTGCACCTTCCCTGCCCATGACTGAGGCTGGACACAGTCACTCCTCACAGCTAGGAGAGGCCTGTGTCTCAGTCCCAGCAGAAGGGACCTGAGGAGTGTCGCAGACACATTTAGCTTCTGAGTGAGTGGGGCCGGATAAAATACAGGATACACAGTTAAATTTGAATTTCACAGAAACAGTGAATACTTTTGCAGTATAAGTATGTCCCAAATATTGCCTGGGACATACACTAAGAATTCTTTGTTATTGATCTAAAATTCAAATTTAGCTGGGAATACTGTATTACAAACCTGTTACATTTGACAATTCTATTCTGAATGCTTTTGACCCTTACCTGCAATTCTCTTCAAAGAACTGCCCTTATCTAGAGCCCTGTGTCTCACAGCAGAGCCCTAGAAGTGTATGGGAGTTTACAGCCCCCCTGGGTGGCCCTTTGCTAACCACAGAGGCAGTGTTAGAAAGCCCAGCTCACTTGCTCAGAGGCGGCACAAATGCAGAGGTGTAGTTCGTGCCTGAGCTCCCTGTGGGGTCTGGCTGAGGCCAGGACTTTGCCCGAAAACCTATATGTTTGTTTTCCATTGCTTCCTAATGGGAGCATTGTCTTAATAATCCTGCAAAAAACACTCATCTCTGGATTCTTCTGGAGGAATTGACCGTTTTCATAGGGAGCTTCTGTGAAAATATGTCTTCCCTGACAAAGGGAAAGAGGCTTCTGGGATAATCCATCCTTCCCACGCTGCTGGTGGACCTTGTCTGGGAAGATGGGTGCCTGGGTTCTGGCAGCCATCTGTGACCATGACTGGGAACTTCACCACCCACCAGGGGGTGGAACGATGGGAAGGCACTGAGTCCTTAATACAGCTGTGGAACCGTGAGTCTATCCTGCAAGGACTCAGCTCCAGACATCTTCTCACGTGAGAATAATAATCTCCTATTGTTTAGAGCAGTTTCATCTTACGCTCTGTTACTTGCTGCCCAAAGCACCCCAACCGATTCAATAGGAAAGTGGTCATGGCCTCCAGTTCCAATTCCAAGAGAGCATGTGGTGTAAACGAGTGCCACAGACTCTTGACAATGGAACAGTCACAGCTGACCCCAGCCAGTGCAGACTGCGCAGGAGATGAGACGCTCTGCCTCAGGCTGTTTCCTTTATTGTCCCTAGAGGAAAACAGACTTCAATCCACCCAAGTGAAGGCAAAATGCGCCCAAACACTAGTCCCTCCCTCCACAATCTGGGCTGCAAAGCTCTGAAAGTTCAGCAGGGGTGCAGCTCCACTTGGAAAACCAGACAACTAGAGACAACATCCTACTCCTCTCCTCCCCATCTGTCGGGATGAGCAGATACTGCAAAAACCAGCCAGGTGTGCAATGAGGCCCAGAAGTTCACACAACGGGAATCCTGGGTCTCGTCGCATTTTCTCAACATCAAAAGTTGATGCATACAGTCTGACGAAGAATTTTTTGTGTGATATGTGAGTCTGTGTGTACGAGAAGTTTTACAGAGGAGATTTAAATGGACTAAACTTTCATGAAACACCTTTATGGAAAAGAATCAGAGCTCATGGAACCAGGACTGCACCAGGATGCCCGAACACCTCCTCCAGCTTACAGCGATTTAAACGTTGGCCAAGAGGAATAAATCCCATCCAGAACCTCAAGGCCAGAGGGATGAGCCCTAATATCCACTCCAACAAAATTTTAGTATGACAAAATTCCAAGGTAACAGCAATGTTTTTCCAAAGACTTGGGCTTAGCTGAATTGAAACCGACCTTACTTATTTTCATGACTAATTAGAGCCTATTATTTATATCACCTTTGAATTTTTTTAAAAAGTCACTCATACTGAATCCAGGCAAATCCCATAGCACATCTGTAGACATGTTTGAGATATTCCATATGCAAACAAGAAACAATACTAAGGCAGGAGGGAAAACCTAAATAAAAGTAATAATGAAGAAAAAAACCCCTCTCTTTTCAGCTGTTTTTTGGATGTCACATACCTGCTGAGTTCTTGTCCCTTTGACACGCGAATGTGTATTATCTTGTTTGATGCTGGTTTTGACAGGGTTGTATGACTGACTCTGTGAGCCATATGAAGAGGATGCAGGGGTGATGTTGTCACTGTCCCAGAACCAGGGACAGGGAGGGAGGCTGGAAATTCCAGGGTTTGGCTTAGAGTCTGGGTCTCCCCACTAGGTGTCCAGGGACCCAGGAGAGAGAGGTGCAGGAGCCACTGCATCCAGATGCATTGGTCTGAGACCACGTAAAGCATTGTCCACACCAGGTCACCAGGGAGAGTGAAGACTTTTTTTTTTTTTGACTGGTAAGGGGATCGCAACCCTTGATATGGTGTGGTCTACACCACGCTCAGCCAGTGAGTGCACCAGCCATCCCTATATAGGATCTGAACCCACGGCCTCGGCGCTACCAGCACCGCACTCTCCCAAGTGAGCCATGGGGCTGGCCCGTGCTTTCATTCTTTGTGTGTGATTTAGTTGGAAATAACAGACAAAATTGTCAAAAGTGTTTCTGTGAATGTCAGGCATTGGCTACTGCACCAGGCCCAGAAAAGACAATTCCTTCATTGTAGTATGTGCCACTGTGGTGCCCATTTCACAGATGAGGAAACTGAGGCTCAGAGCACCTGAATTTTTGACAGAGGTCATACACCTCTCAAGGGGCAGAGCCTGGATTACAAAACCAGATCTACCTGACTCCTGGGTTCTAGTTCTGTCTTCTTTGCGTCAGAGATGCTAACTCATACCCAAGTTCAAAGGCTGATAATATCAACTGGTTTTCTGTGTTTCTTACCTGGCCCTATCACAGTTAAAGATTCATGAGTGAAAAACAAACAACACAGTACACTCATGGGCACTCAGAGGTTGTATTTCACTACCCAGAAATAATAAAACAGGATGACTCTAAATCCTTCCTCCTTTCCTTCCTTCTTCCTTCCTCTACTTAACAAATGTCTCCCAAGCATCTCCCATTTGAGACAGAATGCAGGGAAATAGAGACAAGGCATATCCCAGCCCTCAGGTTTTCAATGACCCCATGTTCACAGAGGAAGGGAGAACA